CATAAATAAATAAACTGCAAACATATGTACTTTGACCGAAACTTGATTGCCAGATCAAAATGGAATTGATAGAAACTGCAAAACACAGCTTTTACAGCATACCTCTAACAAACAATTCATCAGTAGTCCCGGTGAAAGATTGTGGTGGGGACACTGCCGCTGGAGATCCTTGAATCGCTCCCAGGCCTCGTGAAGAGGCTCACTCGGTAGTTGGGCAAACGAGACGATCTGTGGCCGGAGCTCCTGAGTCTTCTGATGGGAGAGTTACCTCCCAATGAACTTCGTGTAAACCTCGGTCCAGGTAGTTAGAGATGCCGGTGCAAGTGTCATGAACCAGGCCTTGGCCCGGTCTTTTAATGTCTCGGGGAAGCACCTCATCTTCAATTGATCTTCGTTCAGCCCGTTGAGAGGAAAGGTGTTGAGCACATTGTAGAACTCCCGGATGAAGTTAAGTGGATCTTCACTCGGGAGCCCATGGAATGCCAGCAGCTGGTTGTAGTGAATCATCTTCAACTCATAATTTCGTGCAGGATCTGGCAAACAGATGCACGAAGTGACAGGCCAGATAACCGGCTGGGCTAAGGTTCGGAGAGTGTTACGAGGAGCTTGTTGTTGTTGTTCACCCATGTCGATGTTGCTGCCTTCTGACGATTTTGGAGAGTGCTGGTCTTTTTCTTTGGATTCTAGTGTAAGCTCGTCTAGCAGCTCTCTCAGGCTCTCGCTAACTGACTTGTTGATTGGAGATAACAATTTGCGTCCACTTTTGGTACGCATACACTAAACCAACAAGAGTTACGAGCACCAATGATAAAAACAAAATGAAACAAGGACTAACACCTAACAAATAAAAAGAAAACAAAAGAAACACTGAAAACAAAATGAATAGGCGCACAAAATAAGTCCTAAACCTTCCCCGGCAACGGCGCCAATTTGTTGTAAGTATTTTTACCGGAGTCAAATCAAAAGATTCAAACGCCGGGTTGTTTGTCCCATTTTTGTTGCATTTTTCGTGTTTATTTTATCTTTCTTTTTCCCTGATTTAGGTCGTTTCTTTAGTGTTTTGGTCCGTTTCTTTTCTTTTCGTATGTTTCCATTTATTTCGAGTCTTTTTGTGTTTTTCGATTATTTTCTCCGTTTTTGTTTTCGTCTCATGGTGTGCAGGTTGAAAATCTTGGGAGGACCAGATTTCAGGCAAACATTGACCGTGCTTGCGTAATTATATTAAAAGTTTAGTTGACAACGAGCAGAAGAAAACGGAATCAAATTCCAAGTTCAAACGAGTGCAGACGAGCCCGAGACGTGAAATCATGCACAAAAGCTAATAAATTCAAGCACGAGCTCCCAAATGTCACGCCCGCACCACGCCACGGCATGCAGCACGAGACCTTCAGAACCAGCATTCCAGGCTGTCTCGCCGTGTCCCAACCCGCGCCGCGATGAGAACCCCTGCCACGCCGTGTTCAACCATCGCTACCCAACCATCTGAGCTCACCGCGCCGCGGCAGGCAGCACGCCGCGGCGCCTGCTTCCCGTCAGACCGTCGCGCGTCCTCCGCGCCGCTACGCCATCGCGTGACTTGGACAGACGACAGATTTTTCGTCCCGCGCCGCGCTCGTCGTCGCGCCGTGAAGGAAGGGCCCGCCGCACCGCGAGACCTCTGTCGTGCCATTACGCCTGCTTCCGCCGCACCGTGACAGTCCTTCGCGCCGCGCCCAGAAGTTCTCCCATGCTGTGCTGCTCATCTTGTCGCGCAGTGCCCCTGCTGCTATTTAAACTCGATCGTGAACTGATCGAAGGGATTTATTCACGACTGAACATAAAAACCCTATTCTCCCATCTTTTCTCTCGTCTTTCATTTTCTTTCATTGTTTTCGACATTGGATTTGCTCTTGCTTTTTGGATTAATCTTGTATTTTGGATTTGACTTTCAATCTCGTGTTAATCGTAAGTTACTCTCTTCATCTCATCCATGGAAGTGTTTGCTTGGATTAATTTTATTGGTGTTGATTATTCGAATATGCATAGCTAAATTCTATTGCTAGGGATTAGAGGATCGATGTTTTGAATTCGTTTGCGATTGTCGGGCTTAAGATTGTTCAATTTATGCGATTCATGCTTAATTAGGGTTTTTGATTTATGCTTGAATGTTGAGAATTATCGAAGAAGTGACACTTCGATTTGCAATTTCTTGTTGATTGAATTCGATTCGTTCTTGCGTGATATTGTTAACTCTATACCGACTAGTTGATTTACCATCTTCTAGGATTTTTTAATCGGCTCTTAGAACCAAAAGGGGAGGAGTCGTTCGAAATAGATTCGCATGAACTAGGCTTGTTCGTAACTGTATTGCCTAGGGGTTATTTGACTCGTTAATTTGCTGTTCTAGTTTATTCTCTTGTTACGAATAGTTATTGAGAATGAATGCTTGATCAGGTAGATTATTCGAATTTCTTAGCTGAACAATCACTTGCCTGTTAGTTGCATATCGAACCAAAACGGATATCCCCGACTCCCTAGCTTCTTCATCCTTATTTGTTCTTCGTGATCTTCTGCTATTTACTTGCTTTATTTTATTTATTCGCAGTAGTTGATAATAAAAACCAACCAATCTTTGATTTAAAATGTTTAGGATTTTTATTTCTTTTATTTTCTCTTTCTTTCGTGTGTGAATAAACGTGCTTGATATTCCGGCTGACCTTCCTTGTGATACGACCCGGGGAACGAATCTTTCGATTCTACTCTGGTAAAAATATTTACAACAAATTGGCGTCGTTGCCGGGGAGGGTTTAGGACGTAATTTGTGCGCTTATTCAATTTATTTTTCGTGTTTCTCTTGTGTTCTTCTTAATTATTAGGTGTTAGTTCTTCGTTGTCTTTTATTTTCATTTTATTTTCTTTTATCTATCATTGGTGCTCGTAACCCTTGTTGGTTTAGTGTATGCGTACCAGGAGTGGATGCAAATTGCTATCTCCGATCAACAAGTCAGTTAGCGAGAGCCTGAGAGAGCTGCTAGACGAGTTTACACTGGAATCTGAAGGGAAAGACCAGCACTCTCCAAAATCATCTGAGGGGAGTACTTCGAACATGGCTCAACAACAACAACAACAACCTCCTCGCAATGTCCTCCGAGATCTGGCCCAGCCAATGATCGGGCCAATAACATCTTGCATCCAGTTGCCAGAAGCCGCCCGCAACTATGAGCTGAAGGTGGTCCACTACAATCAGCTCCCATCATTCCATGGGCTCGCCAACGAGGACCCACTCCACTTTTTCCGGGAGTTTTACAACGTCCTCCAGACGTTTCCTTTACACGGGCTAAGTGAAGACGAACTCAGAATGCGGTGTTTCCCGGAGACCTTGAAAGACCGAGCCAAGGCGTGGCTCATGACCCTCACCCCGAACTCTCTCACAACCTGGGCAGAAGTATACTCCAAATTTGTTGGGAAATACTATTCCCATCAGAAGACTCAGGACATTCGGTCCCAGATTGTCTCTTTCGCTCAACTGCCACACGAGCCTCTTCACGAGGCCTGGGAACGTTTCAAGGACCTCCAGAGGCAGTGCCCCCACCACAACCTTGCTCCGGGGTTACTAGCAAATTGCTTCTACGACTCTCTCCACCAGAACCTGCAATACATGGTGGACAATGCAGCCGGAAGAGATATTGGAGCCAAAACTGCCGAAGAGATGATTGCGATTTACGAGACGATGAGTGCTAACTCGTCTCAGAAAGGCAGTAGAGGGAAGAGGACCACAGTGAACGAGGTCGGACTGGGGAATAACGCCATGGCCCAGCAGTTAGCCGAGCTCACGGAGCAGATGCGACTATTGAATTCTCGAAGCTCCTCACCGATCCAGGCGATGGCCGTGAGTGCTTGTGGAGCATGTGGAGTACAGGGATACAGTTCTGAGGTGTGCCCTATGGCTATCGAGCAAAATTATGGGGGGCAAGGAGTTGAACTGAATGCTGTGCAAGGGTACCAGAACAGGCCCGGGAATGACCCATACTCGAACACATATAATCCCGGGTGGAGAAACCACCCAAGCTTCTCCTGGTCGAACAACAACTATCAGCAGCCACCTCAGCCTAACTTTGTACCTCATCAGCAGCAACAACAACCTAGGGGAATGTTAAGACTGCCAGCCCCCGAAACCGGACCAACCCCACCAGGCATGGACGACAAGCTAGACAAGATTCTAAACTTTATCACTAATCAGGACGCGTCCATTAAGCATCTCGAGACGCAAGTGGGCCAGCTGGCCACGCGGGTGGGGAACATTAAGAATGAAATGGATAAAGGGAAGCTGCCGAGCCAGCCGGAGCACGAAAAATCCGTGACTGTGATTATGCCCGAGCCAGAGGGTCCAAGAAAGGAAGACCAGAAAGCAGAGATCCCATCTTCACCACTACTCGAACTAGCCTTACACAAATCCCTGAATCCGTACAAACCAAAAATCCCTTTCCCGAGCCGGCTCTTAGAAGAGAAGGACCGCCGAATGATTAGAGACCTGCATGCGATGCTGGCTAAGGCCAATGTCGACTTATCCCCACCTGATGTGATCAAGAAGATACCGGAGTATGTGAGGTTTTTCAAGGAATTGGCGGCAAATAAAAAGAGGCTCGAGAGCAGTAATGAGGTGCTAGGGTCAGAAGCGGCAAGTGTCTTTCACCATGACTTGCCGAAGAAAGAAAAGGATCCCGGAGGCTTTGTCATCACTATGGCCTTCGGGAATGGGGAAGAGACCTCAAGCATGTTTGACCTGGGGGCCGACATTAATCTCATGCCACTCTCAGTTTACCGTAGGCTTGGGCTTGGAGAGTTGAAGCCCACCAAGATGCGCCTACAGCTTGCAGACCGTTCGTACCGTCGGCCCGAGGGAATTGTGGAGGACGTACTTGATCGAGTTGGTAAGCTGATTGTGCCAGTTGACTTTGTCGTGCTAGACGTGGGCGCAAAAGGAGGAGAAGAGTCACACCATTCTTCTCGGACGATCGTTTATGGCCACCACGAATACTATGATCGATGTCAAGGGTGGGACGCTGATCATGACGGTGTTGGGCGAGTCCGTTGCCATTTCTGTTCGTGAGGATCAGTTTGAGCTGCAGGCGAGCTTGGTGGAAGAATGTGCCTACCTCAGGGCAATTGAGCAGCTGGCCGAGGACGCGTGCATGCGAGAGCACGCTAAGAGAGCATGGCAGGACCGAGCTACAAATGAGAAGGAGTCCCATACTGACTACCAGCTGGATTTTAGTGAGTTGCCCCGATCTGAATGGGGCGAAAGGTTTGACTTAACGAAGGCCCGCCGCTGTTTGGGGCCTGACCACCTCCACCCTCCACGAGCACCTCCGGATTCACAGTGACTAGTCTAGTCACTGTGCCCTGTACGATTGTATCTTTTCCCTTCTCTTTATTTTCGTTTTATTTTAGTTCTTCTGTCTTGGTTTTTCTGTCGATTGATTATATGAGTTAACTTTCCTTGCATTTAAGATCGACAATGGGGACATTGTTCGGTTTTAAGTGTGGGGGAGTTTTTACATGATTATGTGCTTATATGGTTGATCAGGTCTAGGTCTTTTAGGATGTTTTCTTCATTTTCTTTTCGTTTGAGTGTCTCTTCTTGAGTCAATTTGTGTGTTTCTCGAGTATGGATAATAGTGATTTTGAGATTTGTCGAGAATTGTTGATGATGTTGAGGAGATGTGATGATGATCATGATTAGTATATTTTTATGAACTTGAGGTTCCGTTTTGTTGGACATTTATTTACCTTATGTTAGGGTTTGAGCCTTATTTTGTTTCTCGAGAGATATTGGTCGAATTCTTGTTGATCAGAACATGCTTTGAGTTTATTTTGAAATGAATTGATTGAGGTAGTGAATTGTGAATATGATAGAGGCATTTCTTTGATATAGCTCGTTTTTACCTTTTCCATTGACCCTTGAGATTATATTTCCATTAGTAGCCCGTTGAGCCTTAAACTGTATTTCTTGTCAACCAGTTTGATTAAACTATTTGAAGATTTGACAATGCATTCTTATGATGACGGAGTTTCTAATATGTGTTTGGAGAAGGTGAATAATTTGTTGGAGTTGCATTTTGGGTACTTTACAAAAAAAA